CCCAACTGTGAAAAACTCGGCACCTCGGTGGGATTCGAACCCACGACAGTAAGGGGAAGGCCTTAGTACAGCCAACGCTATAACCACCTGAGCTATGCGGCCCCGCCGGAAAACGCGAGTTTAATCACATTTGGGTCAAGGTACTTAGGAAATTCTGCTTGGGAAGTGGGAGACGCAAAATAATCTACAACCCATCCCGTTCTTGCGCATGACAGAGGTCCGACAGCAAATAGAATTCCAGGGTCAGTGCGTACATGCGTCGCCCTCCACCCTAAATCCTCACTTCGTGTTTCCACGCCCACCGTGTCCGTATAGTGGGTATGTTTTCGGGACACTAGCTAACTGCAACTCCTTCTACTGTCCAAATATTTTCACCTCCTTGCAACTTTGGGATTTTTGGGAACATTAATTCCATAAACTAGTGATCACTGTAATGGTCGATTTGCCTTGAACATGATACATCTTAGCTAAATTGGCGCGATATTATAAAGCCTTCTTAATGTGAAGTGCAGAATGCTTTACTTAAATTGAGAATTTCACAGCCAATACGGAAGATAGACTCAATAGTCCCATTTGGGAGTTTTACATCTCGTGTCCGATGATCCCACGAATAAATCCCTGTAATTTTCAGCCAATAAGACAACTATAGCCACGTTGGTCACTATGCAATGACTGTGCCTTTTAAAGCTTCACCACGTCATTAGAAAACCTCAGAAATTACTTTTCCTGCTTGGACATTCATCATCCCTAATAGCAATCAGATCCGAGTCGGACTCTAATCCAGCTCAGTGACAATTGTTAATTTTCTAGTCAGTCTCCAGGATCGCCTCGGTCATGTCCTTCCAATCTGGACTATTTGCTTCTTTTTCGGTCTTGAACAGCACACAGTATTACATTCAGAACCTTTTCAAGATTCCGTTGGATAGTGTAGAAGTTGTGTTTTCATCCATCCCCATTTACGTCGCTTTCATAGACTAGTTGGGGATTTAAAATAGACGTAGTGCATCAGCTGGTCGCCATTGGGAGATACACCAAAACCATTCACTTAGCCATTTTTATACAATCTAGGGAATTTTCGAGTTTGCCACCATATCGATAGTCCTGTCGTCGGCAGTAAGGTTGTTACACCATATCTGGGCTTCACCGGTCACGCCCCTTCAACTGTCGTTCTCCAATCGTAACTGCCAAAATATGGCGTCCATGCAATTGGTTCATCAACCTTGCATGCTTAAACTTCTGCGATGATACTGACCTCATAAGGAATCAACTGTCTTTCGAAGGTCGACGAGGATTCAGTCACCTACATCACACTTCGTAGCTGATTCGGCGTTTCTTTGACCTCTGAGTACTCCGTCTAGCATCCGGCTGTTAAAGTTGAATCGAGTTCACACCGATGTATGTTTGCGAGTCAGCTGTGCTTCCAGACCGGGACTCGGGAATACGATGGTCCGCCTTTCAGACGGGCAGTCACCCCACTATCCCACAAATGGCTTTTGGCGTGCGGATTTAAATACCATTGTAAGCGCACCTTCTCAGTCAGTGGTTATTTGCTGTTAAGAAGATCGGACTTCGGGAGTGTATCTGACTGGGAATCAGATAAACGTGATCTCATCCCATCCCGTTGACATCTTCGCAGAAAGACTGCTACAAGGCCTTGATATTCAGGGCTGATGCCAACGTAGCATTCAACTATTGTAGTTGAACATCACCGCCAGTTCTGTGGATCCCAGACATCTGTTTGCTGCAGTCATTTTCTCCTTGTCTCGGCGATGAGCCATCGTAAACGGCAGGGTAAGATTGAAGCAGTCGAATTAAACGATGAAGAGTGCTGCTTGCAATTATCAAGATTGTGAGTTTCCTCAAGTCTTCATGCCAGCACTGTAGTCTCACCGGTATTACAGCGAATAAGGTAATCCCTTCACACGAATCGGTTTGGCTCTCTTATGTGCCACGCCGAGACGACGGTTATGGGAGTATTTTTGCCCTGACAGGCTGACCTGACTGTAAGTTGTCGAAGGCCGAAGTTTAGCTTTTTAATGTGCTACACGGATACGACGATCCGAGCGTGAGTATTTGCACTCCCCGATCCTCTTTTAAGACTATTTGGAGAGGTAAATCTCGTTCCTAGTTGTGCTATTGGTTGAGTCATCTCACACGGTATAGTTCATCCGATCATGAGTGGTTATCCGTCATTCCTGGAATTCTTTTCTGCCCTGTTTTCGTTTATACCCTATCCATTTTGGTTTCGGTTGCTTTTACTGAGTGAGTACTTGTTTCGCTGTCTCAATTGAGTCTGAGACTGGCTGTTATTATGTGGTGAAATCCCGAAAACACATGCATTTGAATTCATCTCCACTCAGACGAGCAGGCGTCACCTCATGCCATTTCGTATCCTCATAAACTCCTCGCTCCATCGGAGAAGCACATGCAAAGTAAAAACAGCACAAACTGTATCAACCAGGCATTAAACATGCGATGAATCCGAAAGCAGTGACGTTGTTTTCGATACAAACCGATTGTCTGTTTTTGTGAGTTAGTCGCAGAAGTCGACTACATCAGTACAACAGTTTCCTTGGAGGTCGTAGAACATTCACTCAAAACTTATAAGTTTTGACCATGTATACTGTCAACTCCCCCGGGCAAAGATTTGAGCGTATGATGAAGAAAAGCTGTCTGCCAAGGTTGGCGTCCGACAAGGCTGTGAACCCCACCGTCCATCGTCAACTGTATGGTAAATGCGGTTGTCAACGTCATTCCATGTTTATGGACTCCCGGTACGGTATTTCACGTCATGGACCTTAAATATGCGAACATCGTTCATGGAAACGCTATTCGCGCTGACTTGAAAGTCATCGCATCCTGAAAATTCTACGTAACCTCTGACAAAATCCGAGTGCTAATAGACGGCCTCATATTAAGAATTTTCGTCTTCCCCTTGTTTCGAAAAGGACTCCAGGCAGTCGAGTGTATTGTCTACCTCAGTTTTTCTGTGTCACTGGAAGGCCAATGACAGAAGGGCGTAACCCGACTGACAGTTCGACCGTCACTGGCCTCGATGATAACCCGCCTGAGACCTGTCCAGCGAAATATAGAAGAGCCGGTGGTCTGGCCACCAGGCTTTGCAAAAGAGAGATCAGTGTATGGAGCTACGGTGAAAACCGTCCTGCGTTACGTTTGCAAAACTTGCCGTTCACACCCCTCTGATTTGAAAACGATAGAGCTGTGCGACAACTGGGGCCATCCAGAAGTGCCGTGGTCTCATATTTCGAATCCCGTCATGAACGTCGAAATCTATCATCTATAGGACCGCCCAATGTAATAAAAGGTCATCGCTTTAGATGGTTTGGTTTCGCAATCCGTCGAACTAAAAGAAGTTCGTCTGCGGCCTTGCTGACCAATCAGAAGTGCTCGACTGTGGTTAAGTCAGCTCTTCATTCGTTTCAGGTCTGACAATCTTCTGTGTACTTGGTACTTGGTGCGGCTTTGATCATGCTTGGCCTAACCGGCCTTGATATCATCGCTGGTTGCGCCTCTCCACGCCTGACTGTCTGCGCAGAAGACCTGCACAGCTCGACCCCTTTTCTTTTCCATTGACATTAGCCGAATACCGAAGGTCTAACAACCACCATGTTTTAACAAACGGTATCGAGCCAGGTCTTGAGTTGACCTCCGCGTCGACTCCTCCAGCCGGGTGATGGCGCCGGATCGACGGCACTAACGCTGAGCTAGTGAGGTCACCGTGTCAAAGCCACCTCATTCGTCTGTTTTGGATGGCCAGAGATCCTCGCGATATTGTTGCGCGAATTCGGACTGACTCATTTGGGACGAAGTCGGTGTACTCGGGGGAACGATGGCCCCCAACCAGCGGTGGTCAGATATCCAGATTTCGCTCATCTTCCATCCACACAGCCCGGTATTTACAGTCGGAAAGTGGGACTGACCATACGGGTACACGGTACTTGCGAATCTTTGTGGCTATGGAGATGTTGTGTCGGGTCCACAGACTCTTCTCGAAGATTTTGAAAATCCAGTGAGCAGCATCGTCGTCCTTGCTCTGCCCATTAAGCAGCAGCCTCCCCCCGAAGTATTTGTGACCGTCTACTTCTCCAAGTTGACAACCATTATTCCTGAGGAAAGTCTTCTCCTGGTCAGAGATGCAGTTCGAAAAAAACTTGGCCTTCGCGACGTTTTTTGACAAACCGACCGAAGTATGAGCTTTATTCATCATCAAGATCATCGAAGTTTGCGGTTGGCAAGGCGATATTACTAGCATAGTCTAGATCAGTCAGCCGGCCTCCGGGTATGAACTCCATACCGTCAAATCCGTGTAGGACCATTTCAAGAATCCAGTCACTGACGTAGTTGACAGGATGCAGCTTTATCGGACGCCAGATCAGATGTCGAACGGTTGGAAGAGATGGTTATGAACGAGAAGTCGCGTAGTGGTGAAACGATAGTAGGCCTTGATCATGAAGAGGATTTTAGCCGGCACACCATCTAGTTCAACTATTCGCCGCGGAGTCTCTTGATGGACGGAATCGAAGGTAGCACTGAAGTCAAAAAAGCAGACGACGATTGTTTTCTGTTGGCAATGGCAGAATTCCGTAACGCGCCTCAGTGTGAATACCTGGTCCGCGCATCCACACCGATCTTGGAATCCGGCATGCTCAGGTCTCATTCAAGAGTTATGTATAGCCTGAAGTGGGCAACAGGAAAGACATTCACAGCAGTATCGATGGGGCTCATGCCGCTGTAGTTCTTGCACTTGGTCTTACCTCCCGTCTTGAAGACAGGCACAAAAATACTCGACCCCAGTCATTAGAAACCACTTCATCTCTCCACGCTTGCTCAATCGCCTCATGAGTTCAGGGCGTCAGAATGTCCACACGAGACTTGTAAAATTCTAGCGGGAATTCCGTCCTCTCCGGACGCCTTGTTGTTCCGCAACCTCTATGATGCATCGGCAACTTCTCCCTCGGAAGGGGGTTACACGACACTGCCTAGGTTGAAGAAGGATAAGACTCCGCTGCGGAGGAGGGCGAGGCTGTGGTGGGTTGCTCATAAAAGTTGAGGAGGTGTTCGAAGTGTCCGCGCCAGGTACCGACCTTGGTCGAGTTGTCAGCACTAAAGCCGCCATTCACATCGCGGACAGCTTCACAAAGTGTCGAGGACTTACCAGTAACTTGGCGGATAAGTTGGTAGAGTTTTCGAGTGTCACCAACGTTCGGGGTCTGTTCCATGGAGGTCGCTGTTTCAGTCTAACATTTCTGCCGGTTACCCCTAGATGATTTTGATGTCATTGTTCGGAACTGGCGGAAGGAAGCATCGTTGCAAGACCTGTCTCGAGCCGTCTGGGCGGACAACAGCTGGGTTCTTTCGTTGATCCAGTCACTTCGGCGCCGCTAGATGAATTTAAGTTTTCTCAGCTGTCCCATAAATTGATGACTTCAGTGATAACCATTCGTCACTGCCTTCCCCGTCCACTCAGTCCTTAAAACGGTACCGTATTTCTGTGCTCAAGGCCTGTGCAGTGATGGGTTGCTTAAGTTTAGCGTAGTCGAGACATCTCGCAGGTGGCATTTTGCATACAGATGAGTAGTGAACTTTTAGGTATGTGCAAACGAGAACATGGTGAGACCGATGGGTGTTACCAGTTTCGGCACCACGCATCGGTCTGTTATCGTGAACCCAGCTACGGAAGCTTGAGCTGGCTAAAATTCAGTCAACCTGACTGGTCGTATAGTCGTCATTTGAGTACCAGCCCGGCGGATGATGTGGTGATGCTGGAGGCACGTGCTAGTGACAAACAGTGGGTCCTGATCAGAAAAATTTGGCATTCTCTCGCCATTGTCGCATCAAGCGCAAGGCTCAAAACGACTAGTGGAGTGATCGAAGAGTCGCCGGATCCAATCCGGCCATTCCCCGATCCCCGGCAACAGTCAGCTGATCACGGCGAGTCTTGCAACTAAACTTTCAGTGGAGAGTAGAAGGTCTCTCTATCGTCCTGCTCAGCAGCTGGTGTTGGTGCGTACACGGCTACGACGATGTTCGTAATGTGATCTCCCAGTCGCACGTAAGCCATCTGACCATTGATTAGTCCCCGTGCTAGTAGTAAACGATTTGCTTGTTGGGTGTTGAATCCTGGGATCTTTATTTCCCTTGCACCTGAGTCGGAGATCCGGACTTCAGACAGGCAGCAGACATCCACGTTGTACAGATAAAGGCTGCGCGCCGTCCGACTTTTTGTACCAGGGTCCAGAAACCTTCGCACAATGCAACATCCCATAACAAGAGCCCGATTTCGATTGAACAACCCAGCTCGGATGTTATTCGGCCGCACCACTGAAACAGGGTTGCGGAGCGCGTTGCATTCCTTGGACACCGTAGCATGCATGGTAATCGAAGCTTTTCTCCACGTTTATTGGGAGATTGGAATGCAGACGGGTGTACACAGGCGCTAAGCTTATTCGAGGTTGTCTCCTCCGGCGCTTATGTGCAAGAACCTAAACAGAAGACAACGGTGGCAATGAAACTTAGCTAGTGGCGGTTCATGGTTGACATGTCGCAGTGTCGTCATCAGGCTTTGCGGTACTTTATGAGGCAGTGGATCCCCCAGCATTTTCCGTCTTTTTCTGGTAGATATTTCAATTTAGAAATTGTTACTCTTTAATTTCCTCGAAAATTAACCGCAAAATTGGAGTAGATCAGCATATTCTAAGGTCTATAGGCGTAGACCAAAATTTGCTGCATAAATAGCTGGGCCGAAGTCCATCAGCCACAGCGGATAACCGCGTACTATTCATTAACTGCCGATAGGCAGCATATAGTATCTATACCATATACCAGAAATGGCCATTCCAGTCTCCCTTGTCTTTGTCGGCAATACCATTCTGCCTATATATCATGCGCCGCTGTGCGGCTGCTGGTTGGGCTCGAGAGAGAGTCCATAAGGCACAACGGAACGAGTGAGTTCCGTATGAACGATCGGTGAGCGCCCCCTAACACAGTCATTCCTGTGTTTCGCATCTCTCTTTTCTGGTTGTAGATTAAGCTACTATCAGAAGATTTGAATCACATAATTTGCTCAGGCTAACTGAATCTTTTCTGTGTACCACAGGTCTAGACCGATTGCCAAAAATGACAGTAAGTACTTTAAGCCGTAGCTTCTCTCGCAGACTCAACAGGCAGACCCCTCTCAGGACAACGAGAAGTGGAAGAGTTTCCTAGACGAACTGCGCGCCATTGACAGCGGTGCATATGTCCCTCCACCTCCGCCACTAAGAGGAGACGAAGACCAAAAAGAGCCATCGCATAATGGCACCCAGGACACAGAAAATGGTAAGAGATTTTGACATTTTACTTTGTTTTATCATCATCTTTTAGACGTGTCAAGAGCAGAACGCTCTTACATCAACAAACTCCTTGGTACCAGGCTTGTCGAAACCAAGGAATGTGACATCGAGCTGCTCCGCAGCGATCCTTCAAACCCGCTCCATTCCGTCAAGTCTTTCAAGGAGCTCAGTATGTACGACTACGTTTTCTTGGTTTATGTTTTAGTGGTGCTCCACTGCTGAAAGGGATATCGGCCATGGGGTTTTACAATCCATCGACAATTCAAGAAAAGGCGCTGCCTTACCTAGTTGGAGAGAAGTACGTAATTAATTTTTTACGCTGGTTTCACTTGTGCATATTTCCTTTTTTGAATCATAACGAAAAGTGTCATCAGAATCCTACTCGCTGAACGCCTACGTCAGTGAGGGGTACGAGTTCATAAGACGAAGATGCGATCACTGGAGCAAGGAATTTATTGGCCTGACGTTTCGGATTCTCACTCGAAGCCATCATCGGCTATTCGCGTCTGGAGTAATCTCCCAGTTTCTCCGACGTAGTTACTTTTTCTGCAACTGCGCCAGATCCGGTAAACGACTTCTGACGTTCTCGGCCGTGGCAGTGGGTCTTTCGTCCTCATAACTTGGCGCCCGATGGTTGCTTCGGGCCTGTGTGCAACCCCAGCTTCAAGTGAAGTGAGAAGACGGTTGACGGCGTCTGAGACGTTCTTCAAGTACGGAAGAGCCCGCCAAAATTCGGGGCCGGTTGGATTTGGTCTCTGGTGTTGTTTTCGTATGCACAGGTTGACAAAGTTGCGTGGGTAGCCATTAGCACTTAGTACCCATCGAAGATATTGTAATTCAGCAACCTTGTCTTCCGTTTAACTGCAATGCGTCTCAACGCGTCGGTATAGCGCCTTTACACAACTGCGTTTATGACTGATCGGGTGGTTGCTGTTGAAGTTGCGACTGTCTCTGACGATGGGTTCGAATGAGAATCCGAAACGTCAGGCCGACATTTTTGGTTCCAGTGGTTGCATATTCGTCTTCTGAACTGCTTTCTGGAACTCGCCTGTTCGCATCTATCGATACGAAATAATCTCTGACGGCCGAAAGTTTGTTAGCTTGACGTTTCGGATTTTCACACAAACCCGTCATCAGATTACCCATACACTCCATACTGCTTTGGAGAACATGACCATACTGCATATCTTGGTATATTTGCCGGCAAAAGATAATTACAATACATTTTCCCAGAGTGAAGTTGATTGGAGATAATCGAGCGAAGGGTTATAATGATCAGAATGGACAAGTCGTATGTTGACTTCTTTTAGTTGTTTGCAGAATTTCCGAAAGGTAATGGGTATGCACACTGGCTGCTGGTGATTCTAAGAAGTCGGAAGCTGGAGATGCGATCGCTGGAACGAGAATTTAATTGGCTAGACGTTTCGGATTTTCATTCAAACCCATCATCACACAGTCACAGATAAGGATGACGGAGGCACAAGGATTACAGTATTTATAGGACGCAGTGACCACGCAACCACATAACGACTAGTTAATACTCCCCGCATTCATCGCCGCGGATCATATGTTATGCGATGATTGCTTGTCGATCTGTACCCAAGTCGTTAATGGCTGTGGTTTCATCATCGTTGTTGATTATTGGCGTGATGATTACTCGGCAGTTTCGCTCACTGTTATTGGAACTGTCGACCGTCCGCGCCTTCCCGCATGGCTAATTACTCTGCTCAGGCAGTTTCAACACAGAATATGTGAACAGGAGGCCCTGGCGCTTGTTGATCGACTGGTGACCGGCGATTCATGACTCCAGCGGTTTGGGGCTTGCGCGGTTGTCGCTCCTTGCGAGATTTCCGACCTCATCAAACCTAAGTGTGCGGCCGGGTCCCGTTGGATGAGTCGCGACCTGAGAGCTAGCGTTATTCCTTTCCACTGTTGCTGCGTGCCCGGCCATTCGCGTCCAGGGTAATCTTCAAACTTCCACGGCGTAATTTCTTCGTCAGCGAGTACACCAGATCCGGTAAACGACTCCAGACGTCTCCTGCTGTAGCATGGATCTTTTGGTCTCATGAATGGACGTCTGATAGTGGCTTCTGGTCTGTGAGCAACTTCAACTCCGAATGATGGGAGCAGGCGGCTGACGGCTTCCAAGACGTTATTAACGCACAGGAATGTGTGAATTTCCTTAGGTAAAAATTGTATAGCTTGTAGTTTAGGAACCTTAGACGCTAGCGGAACGGGGGGTCAAATTTAAAGTTAATAGGGAATCGAAAAACTTCTTTAAGAGCGGAAGCTACCCCTTCCACACAGAAGACTGGGAGATGTAGTCCACTATTAAGTGAATAAAAGTTGAGATATTTCTGTCGATGCTTTTTATAAAGTGCGTTGGGATAAAGGCGTTGAAAATGAGTTGGCCGCCCTCTGGCGAGTCGGATTTTTACAGGCTGCCGAAGACGCGGGTTCAAAAGCCGGCATCCTTGTTTGACACGAAATATCCCGGGATTACGCTATGTTTTACTCAATCTTACAATTTCACGTAAGAAATCCTTTTTGATAGAAGTAATATTTCAGGATTTCGATTAATTTTTCATGAGATACGCCAAACATCTATGGACTTAGTACTTCTTACAAGATACAAACTGTCCATCCCTATTGTGGTATTTTTTGAGCACTAGAAGGTTTCTTCGTAGTAACACGAAGTTAATTGCTAATTTTCTCAGCCCCGCTGTGTACCGTCCAAATTATTTGGAGCCTGTATGGGGCAAACGTGTGTTTTAGATCGGTGGTCGTCATGCCTACCACGTTATTGCGTGGTAAGCTTGTGTGCTCATTGCTGGGTGGAAGGAAGAAGTGGCGGCTAAGGAGTTGGGGGAAGCTTTCTGGGGTTTAC